AATTGATTTGCTTAATTAGTTAAGTGTTGTGTAATAATTAATTAGCTTGTTAGTTAATTAATTATGTAATTTGTATTATTCTTTCAGTCCCTCTGTCGAGAGGGCACAATTGTGTAATAAGCGTGCGTGCGTGTGTGTGATGCATGTCTTCCAATCTCCACTTCTTTCTCCCTTTTACTTAAACGCTTACAATGGTTAGTTCTAGAGCACGTTTCAATTAGCATCCTTATGCTATGCATGTTTGCATTATTCATTTGTATTGCATGCACCGGGCTCGGCGCATCATACTAACTGCATTGTATTTCAATTCTAAGTTGAATACATGTATCGAATTGTCGCATTTCACATCCCATCTTAGAATAGCCGAGCCTATCTTAGTTGCATTCTTGCATGTGTTGCATTAGGCATCTCAGCATAGTTAGGATTCATGCATGATTTCTAATTAGCTTCTTTCTTTTGCTCGGAGTACTCGGTGAGTGTTTATGCTTTAGCATCCTTGCATGCATGTGAGTGACTGCCATGACAGCATGCTTACCATGAGACTATGTGCCATGTGTGTGAGTGTTGCCATGATAGCATGCTTGCCATGAGGCTATTTGCTTAATTGATATAACTGCCTGAATGCCTGTGGGTGAAGGTTGGATTACTTGAATTGGAGCAATTCATTAAATCCGTATTTTAGCCTACTTACGAGTAGCAAACTTCAAACCATTTTCCAAACAAACGGATATGCAATGCTTTGTTCCAAATTAGGCGATCTAGTCTATACTTGTTTTGTTGTGCGCATCACATAGTAATTCTAGCTAATTAACCGGAATAAGAATGCATGTATTTTCAAAAACAAGATATCATGTTTAGTACAGGCCGATCTTTGATCGGGCGAGCGGGGGTGCTCATAGATGACCTTTCCCATTTGTACCCAAGTTCCTGAGCCGAGGCAACTTTGGTGATGACGGACACGTGGCCTTAAGCAACGAGTCAGAGTTTCCTAAATTCTCCCAAAACAAAATATTTAGGTGGCGACTCTGTATCTAGCAAAGCAGTCCATGTTTGGCACTTCTTTCTTAAAAATCAATTTTCTAAAATGATTTGCCGGATTTGGACTCTTTGATGATTTATCAGTCTCGCATTGCACTTTGCGGGATTAGATTCAGAACCGTGACATTTGAGTCCGAACGGTAGAAGCATGAGGCCCTCAGGGCGCGTCTACACTTCCTTTCAGGCGTTGAGACCTTTCATCTCATATTACACATTTAGAGTTGAGGCATCGCAGACTCTTGACCAAGTATACTTCTTTCTTTCTGAAACTGCTGAACTTCCTATGATTTCTGTTTTAGCCATTTCTGCCAATTTATATTTACTTCATGTTTAGGGAAATTATAGTTCATATATGTTTCGGTATACTATTTTTTTTTTTTTTTTATAAATAAAATTTATCACCAAGAGCATCAAGAAGATGCCAAAAATACAAAAATGAAACCCCAAGAACAAGGGAAAACACCTAACAAATCAATTCATCTACAAAGTCCAAAAAAACAAACACATCTAGATCCACCCTTCCCGAGACCCAACTGTATAAAACACCAAAACACCGATTCTCTAACCAAGGCACCATCCTAGCAACCCCCTAAAAGTACACCAATTCCACTCCAACCGAATCAACCACATCAAACATAGTGGGGCTAAAGCCCAAGCTCTCTGTCGTCTCTTCCCAATTACAAAAAACTTCCATCACCCTCTTGGGCTGAATCCACACCACTTTGAACATTGAAAAAATAAGTGCCCATAACCGAGAAGCCACCGGACAATGAATTAGCAAATGATCCACTGATTCCACATTAGCACAGCACATGCAACACCAATTGACCAAACTATAATGACGACGAATCAAATTGTTAATAGTCAAAATCCTATCAAAAACTGCCATCCACTCAAAAAAAAAAAAAAAAGTCACCTTTGACAGAACACCTGTAACCCAAACACTCCGACATAGGAAACCTCCTTCCACACCCCCACACAAAACCCTGTAATACGACAAAGACTGTACTACACTTGTGATTTTGATACTTATCAATGGTGGTAATTGTGAAACTGCTAAAAACAATAGGTGGTTTGTTTTTTTTGTTGTTGTAATGCTTATTTTTCTTCTCACTAGCCAGCCAACTCGTTTGTTTGACATTGCAAGCAGGGTTTTTTTTTTTTTTTTTTTTGAACAAACATTGCGGGCAGGTTACTCGATGGATTCTGTCCCATGAATGGATAGTTGAAGTACTATGGAATTTGTTGGTATGGATTGAAGGAGGGGTGAGCATGATTTGGTTTTGAAGTAAACCAAGACCAAACCACTACCTATCAAACCAAACCAAGCCTTAAGCCCCATCAAATGGCGTCGGCTACATGAATCCTTCTTCTCCATTCAACTCTATCCAAGGCCATATCGCTAGTCAAATTAAGGAGATTCATATGTCTATTTACTACACTAGCCCATGTGTAGACACCCCATTTTTGACCATCCTCAAGACTTGGACGTCATCGTTTGAACACTCGATGATTATCCATGTTTGTGTTCGTCCTGAGTTCTCGGAGGTCTCGATCACGCGCCTTGTCTCAAGACCTCTCGACTTGCCTGTTTTGTGTTTGGTTTTGCACCAAACACTTGTGTTTGGTTTTGCACCAAACACTTGTGTTTTTGCTTCTGAGGGTGGGAAATGGCTTGTTGGCCATCCCCACACCTCACTGGCCATGGCTTGAGGCCACCGGCCTTGTTTTGTTGCTACCGGCCATTGGTTATGGTCGGTCGGCAATATTTATGGTCGGCTGACCATTGTTTTGGTCAATTTGTCATTTTTGGCTGGTCGATCACTGTTCATCTACTTTTGGCAAATATTTTATGCCAGCTGTGATAGCTGGCATCCACAATGCACCCCCTCCATACACGTGTATGAAGGGATTTCCCTCTTGCTTAGCCTGTTTTGTAAGCTTTGCAAGAGTGAATCTCTATAAAGGGAGGGCTTCTCCTCCCTCCTCAAGGGTTTCAAAAAGTTCCAAAGAGGGTTCAAGATTAGGGCTTAGGATTTGTATCTCTCTATCTCTATATCTCCCTCTATTTCACTCTTGTGTGTGTATAAGGTGTATTTGTTCTTAGTTTTGCACTAGGACACCTAGTATCACACCTTACCTTGGTTGTTGAGGTGTCAAAGGGTTGTTCTTAAAGTTTTTGAGTGGATTTAAGCTTGGAAAGTCTGCTGGAGCCTTGTTCTTGAAGGTGATCTACAAGGGTGAGATTCTTGCTCTTTATTCCCCATTTTTGCATAAGCCTTTTGCCTATCTTGCATCTATTTTTTAGCTTAGTCTATAACTAATAAAAGTTCTGATTTTACTTGCTTAAAATAGTTGTTTAAGGTTTCTTTGGTGTTTGGGGTTGTTTACCCCCCCTTAGGGCTTGTTTGTCCTCCTTTTTGTGCTATTTTTGGTGAGCTCTGAGACCACCTTATATTGGGATTTAAGTGGTGAGGATGGTGTTTTGAGGTCCTAAGAAGGAGACCCTCTCCTTGTTGTCTTCAAAACTTGTCATTTTAGCCTCATGTGTGAGCACCTTTCTTAAGTTCATGTTGGCCATGTCTTAGTTGGTATTTGTGCTTATTTTGTCAAGATATAGCGCTGTTTCAAGTTGGTTTAGACACACCATGCATGCTTTGCATACTTGTCTTGTAATGCCATGAAATTGCCTTAACATGCTTTGTGCTTTGAGCCTTGTTTTTAGCATGATTTTGGCTTAGCTTTGTAGAGCTTTTATGCATGTTTTAATGTGTTTGAGGTCTGACTTTGGTTATTTGGGTCGTCCATGATTTGTTTTGTATAGCTACCATGCAATCTCCCTTATAGGCCTTGAGTGTTGGCCTCTCTAGCATGCTCTCCTTGCATCATTTGAGTGGTTTGGCACCACTTATCATGTCATTTTAGTCCATATGGTATGCTTGTATGCTTGCATTTGATACTCCTTTGATGCTTTAAAAGGTTGATGTCTTATGCTCCATGTTTGGACCATTATGTATGCTTCCATGTGTAGGCTGTTTAGATGCCATCTAAGTGTGTTTTGGGCCTTGTCTCGACCTACATTGGGACTGTTTTGAGTCCCCTCGACCCTTTGGGACTCGCCTTGCATAGCCATGGTTTGATCCCTTAGGATAGCTTTGAGCTTTGGACCTTGGTTGCATGCTTTGATTGCTTTGTTTAGTTGGTTTGGCACCATCCTTAACATGATTTCCAGAGTTTGCCATGCTTGTCATTGGTCCATGATCATCTCCTTTTAAGTGTGCTTAAAAGTCCCCTCTTTGTGCTTAAGTGTTGGACCATGTTCGCATGCATGTTTGTATGTAAATTTGCCTTCATTTCCATAGCATTTTAGCCACTAATTTAAACATGGCTAAGGCTTGTCCATATTAGTTTAAGTCCACCGTTTGCATGTTGTTCAAATGTTGTTACATTGCTTCATGCTTGCATGTTTTGGTTGCATAGTGTTTTGCATGCTCATTGTTTGCATTATTGATACATACACTGCTGGAAATCAGGATTTTACGCTAAAGGTATTAAAAACGTCGCTAATTCTTTTTGTGACGTTTAATACTAAACGTCGACGACGCGGCCGTCGCTATAACTTTATGACGTTTGAAAAACGTCGCTGCATCAGAATAGGCGGTGTTTTAAAAACGCCGCGAAATGTCCTATCCTAACGGTACTGTGACGTCACTATGATTTAGCAACGTTTTTAAAACGCCGTCATATGTTTTTAATTTTAAAAATTACAACCTTTACAGTGGCATTTTAAAAACGCCGTCTTATCTTCTTTTTTCTTTTTTTTTTGAAATTGTGCTAATTTTTGTGATTGAACTAAAAGAACACCTGTAATAAAACTAAATAGTACTAATATGAAATAATAACTCCCATTCAAATAATAAATACAGCATCAATTCAGTTTCTCATTCAAAACACATATCTAAAAATTGAATTTACAATTCTCAATAAAAAAATTACTACCTTACATACAAAGCCACAAAATAACATTACCCTCTTCTCTCTCTCACCACTCCCCCAATTAACACAAAATAAGAAAAAAGTGAACCAAAACACCCAACCCCCCAGTCTGATCAGAGGAAAAAAAGAACAAAGAAGAGAAATAAGAAGAAAGGGAACCAAAACACCCAACCCCCATCCATCCTTCACCGTCATTCTGAATCTCTCTCCATGTTGCTTCCCATTGCCTTCAATCCTCTCGGTCTGCCAATCGTAAAACATAATAATAATAAAAACAAAGCCAATAAAAGATGTGCAGTGAATAGATATGAGGATTGGCAATAGATAAATTTTGAGTTCAGTCAACATAATAAAGTAACAAAGTTTTGTAAAATGTGTATATAAAAGGAAAAACCTGGATATTGTTGATTATGATGCTCTTTTGATGAGCAAGAACCAGATGCATTTGATGACCCAAGACTTACTTTTGAAATGGCTTTCTGAGAAGCAAAAGCAACATATACAATATGAGTATAAAGCTTAAAGTACAGGATAAAACATGTAAACAATTGCTAACTATCTATTTAGATAAAATAAATAAAAAAAAGTAAACAATTTGTGCTACTAATTTTATATCTCAAATGAACAGAGTATATACACTTATCAGCATGATATCAAAATATTGAAAAGCACAATATAATGGTTTAGGAATTTTGAATTCATCTCTCTCTCTCTCTCTCTCTCTCATCCAGTTTCATTAAGTGTAACACTATTTCAACCTTGAAACAGGGGTACCTCAATGTAAACATTTCTGTTTTCTACACATAAGAACACTTTTCATTATAACCACTATCAAGGGAAATCCTTAATGATTTAGAGGCTTTGCACAGATCAAGATTCAGAAAAGTGGAATGCGAAGGGAATATAAGAGGTAAATAAATCAATTATATGTGAAAGCGTGTGGACAATCAATCTCCCCTTAAGAACACTATACACGAGTAAATATAACAGGAGAATGGCCTGCAAGTGTTAAAACCTTTCTAAATTCCAGTAGCACAAAACAGAGAAATCTGTAGATAGAAGAGGCAGAGCACTGTAGAAGCAACAAACATCTAGTCATAGCTGGAGCGACTATCTCAAAGTAGTGGATGCAATTGTACGAAGAACCAGAGATAGAAGCCTTGGAAAGAAACACAAGGACAACGCAAAATAAAGATAAAATAGTTCATGAAAGGAAGCATGCATACAAACTAAACTATAGAGGGCATGCAAGAATGAACGTTGAGCAAAACAATGTGTACTCTCAATACTTAACACTCTACAAACCTATAGTCTTACCTCAACTCGACCCACATCCCTAATAACATAAGACCACCAACCTAACATAGGACAAACAGTTAGGCAGAAAAATCTGTACGTGCTACATCACCTCAACCCCTCCAAAGCTTACCCCCAACACCAATCCTATTTAGGATCCTCACATCAACTTATGTGCGTTCCCGTACAGTACAACCAGTCAACTGCAAATACAACTAAACTACAATAAACAACTAAGTTATGAACTGGAAGCTCACCCTCATCAACCACAATCTCACATCATCAATTCAAATGCAGTAAGTGGTTATCCGTTGGCTGTGAAGCAGCAGCAGGCGTTCCTGGGAGTGCCCATTATTTGAATGCCCTGCCCCTGGCTTCCGCACAGGAGAGGATATGTTGGTAGTGCTCTCACGCCTCCCGAAAACAAGTTAATCTAATAATCTCCTGCCTCATAGCACCAGTGCTGACCCACGACCCCACTTTCTTTGATTTTGTAGTTTCTGATTGTCTTTATCCAGAAGATCAAGCACTGGACATTATTACAGATGGCAAATGGCAACCAACACAGTTTTGTAATATTATTGTGGAGAGAGGTTACAAAATTCCATATAAGAAAACTCTAAATTCCTGAAGAATGTCAAGAAAATACCCAAGAGTAATGCATGCACATGGTGTGGACCCAGGGAAGGCCAATTTTTAACCCATAAACAAATGCAACATTTGAAATGATTCCTAGAGATTAATGCTTTCAGTTAATAGACTTTAATGCCACTACAGATATATGATAAACAAGGTGTTAGTGATTCAGCCCGGTTTGGGTCGTAGCATCTTTACCATGAATCTTCTCCTTTCGACCCCTAAATTAATTCCTGATTTTTGGGTTTTTTGGTCTTTCTTGACCATCATCTTTTGGCCAAGCTGTTGTATACCACTAAACACATTTATCGACTATATCAGTTTTTTCCCTTCTCACTACTAAAAATTCTTTGATATTGGCGCAATTTCGACAATACGAGAATTCATTTACATCTAGTCTCTAGTACATAAACTAGCACTTAAGAAAACAACCAATCATGACCCATGTCGCTGAATGACATAAAATCATTTCCCGATTGTGCAATTGAACAAGGTTGATCGATAAAACACCATTTGATTATTAAAAATGTGATGCAGATCCATCCAAACTTGTATTTTTTTAAGATATAATATTCTGCATCACATTTGCATAGAAAATTATTAATTTTACTTAAGTCACTACATATATGATTAACATGTATGCACAAATTAAACATATATATATTTAAACTAAAAAAATAAAGGTAAAAAAGATCATTTCTATAGAAATAGAAGTGCGATATGTACCGCACAGGGAGGCTAATCATAATCTGATAGTAGATGAAAATCATGGACCACTGCACTTAATTGATAAAGTTAATAATGCTGTCAACAGGAAAGAAAAGAAATTAATAGATTGAATTCAATTAGGGTCATTCAATTAACAAAAAAATAAAATAGTCAGCCATATCCTACCGTTGTTTCATGATAGTTTTATGGGTTCAATGCACTTTATGGCTGGGAATTACTGTCAACAATAGAAAGACAAAATTTGAGTCCATTCTGTCGCACTACACCATTATATAATCTATGTCAAAACCATTGCATTTTATAAAAATTTAATGAGTAACAAAATTTCATAACATCTGATCTTCAAATAAATGTGATCCCAATTTATCCTTGTTTATGTGATGTTATCAGTAATTTTTGACTTCTCTAGAATCTATGGTTTAGGAAATTTTAAACTGCACTTAACAGACAGAAGAATTGTGGTTAACAGAGGGAAAAATCGCCCTTTGAAGACACCTTCAATTTTCCAGCAGGCCGAAACAATGAAAGTAGAGGGAAGAAAATGTCTCATTATGTATTTGTAATACGTCTTTCCTTTTTTAGTTGTCGAACAATTTTTCAAATTAAAAAAATCCTTTTAGTGTTGTTCTTTATTATGAGACAATCATATCAATCTAATACAGCATATGACCATTTATAGGGGAAGTAATGTAGAGAAAAGAAAATTAATGTATACTGAAACACAAAAAACATTTAATAATTAGTAACAGTAAATTCCCCATTACAACTAGGATAATCTAGAACTATAGATAAGATCATGAAATTATGTCCAATTATCTCAAAAACTAGAAAGGGCCATCATGCATTATTTTAAAAAACAAGAAAAATTATCAGTTTTTACTGTCACACGGGCAAGCTTTCTTAAACTTTTACATGGGACACTCTACAACCTGATTATTAGGAGGTTAGAAAGCAGAAAATGCTAGAATGAGATTCCTAAAAAAGGCCAAAATATGGATAGGAAAGAGACAAAGCAGATATGATATTACTCATGTAGCAGATCCAGAGAGAAGGAGAGAGAGAGCAAAACAGACCTAATCGAAGGAGAAGAGCAGATCTGCGCATCTCTTCATCATTCAGAGCTTTCTACTCAGTTCATCTTTTCAACGATCCACATCCAACGCCAACTTCTTAGTCCCGTAAATTGATCAGTAGACACTACACCGCCACTCGAAACCCTGATAAATCGATTCACTATTGCTGCTGCTAGCAATTTGATGAAAGAGAAGAGTTTTCCATACAGGACTAGAAAGAGTAAAGGAAACAAAAACGAAAAGAGAAAACCAAAACAAAAGCACAAGAAGCTGGAAATCAACTAAATCAAGAGAAAAACAATTCCAAATCGTTGGTTTTGGCCATGAGAATTTTATAGATCTTGTGTGAATGTTAGCAAATCCATATCAGAAAACCCTAAACCTTAAGCCCTTAGATGATTTTAGAGCATAGGGATATTCAAAACAATCTGGAAGATATTATGCTGCCAGAAAGCCCTAACATTGAGCCCTAGATCGATTTAGATCTTAGGCGTTCGCGAATCAGGCAAGATTACGCTCAAATCAAAGAGTAGAACAAGATATTTTTCAGATCAAGCAACCGAAGAAATTGATGGAATCCAAGCTCCGTGCCTTCGAAGATCCAAGGCCTCGATTTCTCTCTCTTCCTAAAAGTCACGCCTCTGTTCAATGGCTCTGTTCATCAGAATAAAATAGCCTTGAGCCACTGTTTAAAAAAAAAAATAACCAGCGCCACAAAACTAGATGTTTAGTTTAATTGTTTTTTGAACCATTTGAAAAATCTGGACAGATTTCACAACGTTTGCGAAAAACGTCATAAAAAAAACGTCGCTGTAATCCTCTTTTTCCTTGTATTGATACATCTGCTATATTGCATTTTGTTGCATTGTTTGAGCTATATGGCATGTTGTTACATGCTTAGGTTGTAATGCATTTGGCATGCATTCTCTCTTTTAGTTGCCTAAACATGTTGTTGCATGTTTTCCATTGATTGTTTTACATGCTTGCATGTGTGCATGTTTGCCCTCATGCTCATATTGCATGCTTAGCTTGCATGCTTAGCTTGCATTTGGCATGCATGCCTTGACTCTTGAATAACCATGATAGAGGTTGGGCCCCTTAGGTGTTTGTGTACATTTCATTTGACATCAAAAATACACAACTTGACACCTCGGACTCATCATGCATTGAAATGCGCGATTGGTGGTCAGAGTCGAGGACCAACTCCCTTGAGTTCAATAACATGATAGGGAGGTTGGTTGTGCAACATTTGCTTTAAAATGCATTGCCATGCCTAGTTGCCCTCTGCTGCTGTCAAAACAGGATTCTGCAAGAAGATATGGTCGACGGACCACATTGAGTGCCGGCCGACTAAATATTTTTGGCCCGAGAGCCTAACAAATGGTCGATGACCAGTTTCCCCCGGCCGGTGGTGTTTCCTCTTGGTCGGTGACCTTCACAGTGATCAGGAAGTGATTCTGGAGCATCATTGAGACTTGCACAATTTTCAGAGAAGCAGAGCAGGGTAAACAGAGGCACTTGTGCATGGTGGTGGATTTCGAGCGAAGCCGAGCACGCATGCATTGGACCCTCTTCCCGAGGCTGTTTTATCTCTTTATTAGCTTAGTTAATTTGCTTAACTAGTTAAGTGGTCTGTAACTATTTAATCAGCTTGTTAGTTAGTTAAATTTGTATTATCTTTTTGTCCCTCCGAAAGAAGGGTGAATTGTGTAATAAGCGTGTGTATGTGTGTTGCATGTCTTCCAACCCCCACTTCTTTCTCCCTTTTACTTTACC